GGATGGTGGCGCAGATGTGATTTATGCAAAAAATGGAGCTTAAATATTAAAAATGGAAAGATATTAATAGCTTAGTCAAAGTAGCAAATTACTTCCCTGTTAGACTGTAAATCTGGGTACTGAAACTGTTACAGAGAAACATAGTACATGCAGTCTGAAAGACTTTTGAATCTTTTCCTACATTGAAATATAGCTCTCAGTAACACGCAGACATTTTCCAATATGTCACTTAAAAAAACCTGGTGTCAGTATTGGCAAATGGTGTTATAACAATAAAAGTGTTACAATAGCAGACCTAACACTGCTCTCTCTGAATATTCTCACAACAGTGAATTTATCCAAATCTCGTAAAGTTTCCTACTAACAGTATAAGAGCACAGTCTAACTCAACATTAGTCCTGAAGAGTTTTAATCATAACTTACCTGTGTGTCTGCATTTAAAACTTTGATTCTCTGTGTGGAGATGAACAGATCCACTTCAGTCAAGGCCTGGGAATCTCCCTCTGAAGTCTAGATGAAGAAGATGCTTTGTTACAAGGAGAATTTTAATACCTCTTTAGAATGACAAATCCACTGATCGCTTCAACCATAATGTGATGCAACTGCACTGTTAAACCACTACAAAGATTGCTATTCAAAGGTTTTCTAAATACATGCAAAGAATGCATTTATTGCATAGAAAGGGTGAAGCATACTCTTATTTTGTGTCTAAGAGCGAATTTTTGGAACCTGTGGGACTGAGAGCTCAAGTACTAAAATTCTCTATTTATACCCACTGTCACATCAATGCACTTCAGTACTTGAGGCACCAGAACTGAGAAAGTAGGAGGACTGAGAAAGTGACTTATTCCCCATCAGCTGCTTAGCCCTTGCTGTTTGCAGTGAGCTCACACACACAAAAAAGTGCAAGCTAGTGCTCAGTACTGTGATGGGGTTTAGGTTTTCTTTAGTTTAGTTTTTTTTTCAAGAAAATAAAGAACTGAGCTCTGAACTGATCTGTCTTTCATATCACAGAAAGCTATCAGCTGACTTGAGGGTGACAGAGCACTGGCCCAGGCTGCCCAGAGAGGTTGTGGAGTCTCCTTCTCTGCAGACATTCAAAACCCGCCTGGACGCCTTCCTGTGTAACCTCATCTGGGTGTTCCTGCTCCGGCAGGGGGATTGGACTGGATGAGCTTTTGAGGTCCCTTCCAATCCCTAACGTTCTGTGATTCTGTGTGATTCTGTGACTTTTAGACCTCCACCTCTGAGCACTGCTCACTATGGAAACCATTCCATATCCCATTAGAAAACATGGTCACAGAGCAAGTGGGATTACAGTGTAATGCCACATCATTTCCTAAGTGTGAGTCCTGTGGCCACCCATGTGAGAAAACAGGAGCAAAGCAGCTGCTACCTCTCAACTAAAGCATCATCCAAGAGCTTACCTAAAACTCTGAGTTCCAGTAGGAACCTATTTATTGGGCCAGTCTACTTGTCCACAATGCACTACTGCAACTGGTATTGAGCAGTACCCGTGTTAGCAGCCTCAGAATAAAATGGCCACGGCCTGTACCGCTCTCTGCTACAGACAGGCATCAGTCTCCAGGCCAGAGACTGGTCCTTTGATGAAAGGAAGAATTATGTATTTGCTGCTCTTTTTTGTAGTTAGAAAGGCTTAGCTATGCCTATAATTCATTCTGATTATTTTTATTTAAGTCTCATCCAGCAAAATACAAGCAAACATAATTTGGCAAAGATTACTTGCATTGCTTTAATCCAAGACAATCACAAAGAGCAAGATTAGTTTTAGTTATATTTTTGTCAACTGTAGTTAACTGAAGTACAGTTTTTCAGAGTGAAATGCCTCCTGTATGAATTGTTCCAGCTACTACCTAACAAACTTATTTCATTTGTTTTTAAATATTGACAATAATTTAATAAATATACATATATCACAGACACGGGAAATACATCTTACTGATATTGGTTAGTATAATAAAAATAAGCATTACATTAAGAAAAGACCTCCCAGATAACATTGGCTGTATAGCTGGACTAACAAATTACAGGTATTCAAGAGAAGAGCAGCAGCAGACAGGCACTCCAGCAAATGAACAGTGAAGAAAATGAGTTCATTTTATTCCATCCAGTGTTTTACTACTTAACAACGAAGAAACTAAAATGACAACTTCATGAGGACCCATAATGGAAGACACAACACTCCATGGAGAACAAGTACAACAAAAACGTAAGTAAACATTAGCATTCAAGAAAAACAGTTTACACACCGCTTTTTTCTTGATTTTAGCCGCCTTTTGCATCCTCTGAGGAGTAGCATAAAAAAAAGAATGCAGACAGATGTACACACAAAGAAAGAGAAAAGACAGTGTGGGAAGTCAGGGAAACCTTTTGAATGTGAATCCAGACTGTTAAAATTAAAAATCTGAGGGCACTGGGAGAAGGATGTGCAAGAAAGACTTGTTTATATCTTACGTATTTATCCAGCATAACTGGATTCAGTGGTATTATGCATGTGGTCGACTGATTAGAAAAAAAAATTGGTACCAAAGAGTGTTGTCTGTTAACATCAGCTCACACCATTTATCCTGCTAAATATACAGCAGTCTAAAATGACAGTACATGCACTATTTTAAACTCAAGATTTTCTATCCATATTAATCATATGTCTACAAGTAACTGTTGAACAAAATGCAACTCAGGCTCTCTTCCATGACTATCTAAAGTAGACAAGTATCCCTGAGAGATTAGAATTGCTATTAATACACAGAACAGTTTTGAGAGAGTTAATTGCAATCAACAGTTACTTACTGCTTGAGACATGATATGCTAAATAGAAATTCAAAGGTTTGGGAAGTTTAAAGAACTGGACATTTCTTGCCTTCCGTGTGTTTCTAAATGAATTCTACAAACAGCTTCCAAACAATTTTGAATAGACTCAGAAATAACTTTTTGTTACTCAGAGGTGCTGTATGTATTTTCATAGTCAGCATTAGGGGAAACTATTTCTATTTACAGTACTAGATCTTTACTCATGTAAGTGTGCTTCACAACACGTCTGAAGCTGCAGATCCTGTACTGTTTAGAAACCAACTGTTGAAGGATTGGAGAATATTCTACAAACCATAAAAATTCTCTACCTTAACACGGCTCACTGCCTCTTGGGCCTGCATCATTCTGATGTTCTTGGAAGGGTTGCGCTCAGAAAGCAGCTGTGTAGAGCCCAGGTAATTGGCTGCAAAGATGATTCCATCAATGAGGTCTTCAGGTTCACACGGTCCTGGAACTGACAGGAGACATCTACAGTTACAGCCTTTCAATGGAAAGAGATGAGAAACTGAATAAAGGATACTGAGGCTTGAACAATCTTTTTTATATCTTTTCTAAAATGAAACCAGTGAAGAAATCCAGTGCAAAATAAATTAAGTTTGTTCCTAGAGTTATTTCCAAAAAACCTCCATATTAACAAAACACACAGTATTTGAAACATTGCATAATGGTTTGATTGTGTCCTCTAGCATTAGATGAAAATGATTGGCAATTTTTTGCCGTGCTGCACTGATAAACACACTGGAATTATCTACAAGTTTCAGAAATGCTGATAAGTTCCTTTATGATAAATTTCTTACTATTTATATGTATGACTGTTTGCATGAGCTAAATTTCTGCTTGAATATAGATTTGCGTTTCCACAATTTTTAAATGCTTGTAAATGTACACAGTCCCCAAGCGTTACCTTTGGCAAAAACACCGATGAACAATGGGCATAAAGGTGTACTTTGCTTTAGCAAAAATCCACCACAAAACTTAACACTTAGGTGAGTTTAGGAAACAAGAAAAGTAAGCATCTTGATGGTGTTCAGTCATGTGTAAGGCCCGAATTCAGAGACTGATAGAAAAATACAGTTCTCAGGCTGGTACAGATTATATAAACTGAGAGCTGGAGAAACATGCTTCAGTACAGCAGTGGAATAACACATTCATGGTCTAATCAATGCCATCTGCACAACAGGTCCTACAGCCTTTTCCTCTGAAAGCAGGGATGTCACAGAAGGCAGTTGTGGAAAAGCAGCACATGGAAAGAGTATGAAAAATTTCATGTTAAAAACGAGAGGAAAAGAGTAGAACTTAAAAACATCTTGATTTTGCTTACATTTAGGCTTAATTCATGAAAATTAATTTCATACAGTTAGTATTAATTCCATAATTACTTCAGTGACATTCTAACATTAACTTGTGTTTTGCAAGTTGTTTCTTTCCAAGGATGAAAAAGAGGTGGCAGAGAGAAGTGAATAAAGAGTAGTATTGATATCATACTGGGGCTATGCTCATTGTTGCCTCTATTCAGCTGTTAAGCTTTACATCTAGCTTGATTAGGTCAACAGTAAAGAACAGTCACTCCAGAGTTTGGCTGAAATCTCTTGACAGTGAATATATTCTGATCCTCAGCACTTTTATAAAGGACATTTGCTTTGAGATGTATCAACTTGCAAAGCTGCTAACACACTTTTTAAAAGTAAATAAATCTCATGTGTGAGGAGAAAAATTACACTGAAGGGAGATGCTAATTTTAAAGATATTTTCTTGTACAGTGGTTTAGTTTGATTTATTAATAATCAGTTGAATGTGGAAGATTAATATGTGGAGAAGGAAAAATATACAGTGTGCTGTGCTGATGAAATTTACTGAAATAGTGGTTCGCACCTGTCTTTTAGTGAACATTCCTATCCCTCATTTTCCTGTTCTAATTTGAAAAAAATCTTTCAACAATTAAAAATACCATTACAATCTGCACTGTGAAAACCCTCAATAAAATCCTTGGGCAGCTACTAATATAAAAACACTGAAAGTCTTTATGAAGGCCAAGTCTTTCAATACCTCAAAAAACCAATCCTTGTTCCTGCAGCATTGATTCACTGAATAAAATCAAAGAAAATGAAAATTCCACAAGAACTCCATTCACTATATCTTTGTTCCTCTTTGCTTACATCTTTGCACCATTACATTTTTCAGCAGATGGAGGATGTATTTTACACAGTATCTCTTCTGATGTTATTCATATATCTTTTCAAGCCTAAAACTTAGTCTCATACAACTGTAATTGTTTAAGCATGCAACAAAATATTAATGTTGCATCATATTGACATCTTGTTTCAAGGGTAGTAAAGATGGATATTAGTTTAAGATGTAAATTTAATGCTAAGTTAGAAAAACTTCATTAGATACCTGCATCAACACACTCATTCAAATTTAAAGTGGCTTTAACTTGGTTTTCCTTCATTCACTTCAGGCTAAATAAATCAGGCTAAATTGAATTAAGGTTGCTTTAACTGTGAAATATGCTTACCCACATAATGTTTAAATGAGTGTAACTCCTTTTTGTAGTTAATTTAGATTAACTTTCTTGAGATATTTTGTGTGTCTGAAGTAAAATTGCATTTCTCAGTACAAATTCTAGTACAATCATTACTACAGCAATTACAGAGTAAAATTCTAAGAGTCTGCAGGATTTGTCAACAAAAAAAAAGGTGTGCGGGTTATTTAAAACATATCAGTCCCTTAATCTACTTCCCTTCCATCCTGAAGTTAAGATCCTTAGTTAAGGATCCTTAAGATCCTCTAGTTAAGGAGTCGTGCTGAAAGTTAAGTGCCTGAACAGTTCAATGTGAATATAACCAGAACAGGGTTATGGTATCTCTGTCAAAGCTCAGGAAAGAACAGGAAATGTTAGCTGGCAGAATCTTCTTATGTGCAGTGGGATCCTCTTCCTTTTGGGACTTTGCATACAAATAAATAATAAAAACTGTGATTTTCTTTGAATTCAGAGAGCAGTCATGTTAGCTATCATAAACTCCTAGTGAGCTATATATTTATTTGTATTAGAAAATGCCATATAGTACCTGTAATAGAAAAACCCCAATAGACAGCTTATCCTCATATACAGTGTGACTAGAAAAAAAGAAGGCAAAACAACTGAACTAAAAAAAAGCATTACACTAAAAGAGTATACTGACCCCTTTCCAACAGAGTAGTGAGCTGATTGGTAAGAAAGAGCCATCACCTTTTTATCCAAATAAAATTAAAATGTGCAGTTGTATCTGCAAGCACTGTGAGGGGTGAACTTTCTAGTCCGTTTTAAAGCTCTGCTCATGCTGGCCTCCCTTTATAGTTGTCCACTATACAATCAGTAGATGCTTATTACAAAGTATTAGCTTTCTCTCTTGCCTCCACCACCTTTAGGGAATGCATTCAATTTACCTCTATTTAGGGCCTGTTAGCCAGTACATGCCAAGTGTTGCCTGTAATTTGCTTCAGAAGTCAATCTGTGTAGAAGTGGCAATCTTTGAACTTCTGATTTGCTCTAGCTCTTCACAGAAATTACTAAAACCAGAAGGTGCTAGTCAAGCTGATGAGATCAGGGAAGAGAAGACAACTGTGTTGCACATTCTAATATTATTCTAAATCGCAGTAAGTTTTCCCTGAGTTGAGAATGGCATCAGAAATCAAGTTTTTAACATTCACTTATGTTTTCTATTGTGGGAGAAAGTGTGTTCATGGCAGATCTAAGGGGTCAGATCCTTAGAAGTTTCCTATTGTCTTTTCTCACTTTACAACATAGACATTTCCTTTGAAGGAAGAGCTGTATGCATTTTCCCCAAAGTTCTTCAGCCATCTGTGAATCAGAGAATGACAATGTTTTTCAGTACAATCCCATTTTATCTCTGTCCACCTTCTTATGTTAATAAATTATTTTTCTTCAAACAGTAAATGAGTAATAGCAGTGCAAATGAGATTGAAGAAACACATGAAAGCATGGTTCTCCTAAACAGAGGACTGCATTACCAATCAGATCAGGAGAACCTTTCTGTTTGTGCTGAGATTCCCAGAGTGCAGTAACAGGCATCACATCAAAGCGATACAGGTGCTGCTCTGAAGAAATTACTCCTTCCCCTGCACAAGGCCATGAAGAAGAGGGTCCTCATACCTTCATAAAACTCCACCCTGTTGGGGCCCACTGTAACCAACTTTCTTACCCCCTTTCAGATTTTTAGGTCTCTCCATCTTCACCTTAATCCTCCTGAGACCTCTTATCTAGTCCTTCTTTTTATCACTGCCAGGCTCCCATTGCCACAAGGCATGAAAATGTTAAATACTTCATTACTTAAACTTTTCAGCTGTATTCTCTTGGGTTTGACTGGTTTTTACAACTGTGGTCTTTAAAATATATTAAAGCATTTGCTTCCATTTTATCCTACTTTAACTATGGATGATGCAAAACTTACCATCAACAAAACTTGGAAATGAAGACACTTTCTTTGTCTGTTGAGAAATAAAAATGGTATGGCTGTAACAAAATCTTTTTCACAAACTGAAGTTAATTCATATAATATTTAAACAGCTGACCATTGTTGAAAGAAATCAAATTTCTCTGTATAACGCTTGCATAGTCACTACTTAGCACAGTGAAACACATTGCATCACAGTAATTAACCCAACCTAACTGTTCCATAGTGCTGTTTACCTGGAATCTCAAAGCATTTTAAGCATATCCCACCACACAAGAAACCAAAGGAGGGTGGGGGAAATAACATGAACATTACCTAGGAAGTCAGCTGTCAAATGAGCCACACAAGCCAGCAATTCCCAGTCCAATAGTTTGTCCACTAGATCACATTGTCTATTGATGATATCCCAAATTTCCAATTAGGAACATTTAACAATAATTTACACAGCAAGATTCTGGGTCAGTTAATAAAAAGAATTGTCCCTGATTGCACAGTACATAGCACTACACTTAATCCCAGCACGGGCCACAGCAGTGCTCTTTTTATACTACTGTCTCTGTTTGTTAATAAGCAGATACAGTCTTTCCATTTGCTTGTCTTTTGCCAGCCTCCTCAGGCATTC